CAGGGTTGAGGGGTTCTCCCTAGCCGAGATCGTAAAAGCCCATTTTGGAGTGTGGAACTCTGGGGCTTTCCCTCTTCTTGTTTTTTTTATATCCAGGAGCCTCTCCAGGCTTTCAGTCAGTCCCCGGCTGGGCAAGTTGCCTTGAACCCCTCTTTATTTACTTTTGTTGCATCTTGGCACTTCTATGGTGAATCCTAGTATTCTTTCCTAGATGATCTTTTAAAAATGTATCTGCTTACTATTCTGGTTCCTCTCTGTGGAGGAGACACACACTGTGTCTTGTCAGCCATTTCTCCCTCTTTTCCTTCAAAGTGCCTGATATTCTTAGGTACTGGCAATGAAAAGAGGAACAACACACCTTCCCAGAGCCAGAGGAATTTATGAAACTTCCCATGAGGAGAGGGCACACTACAGTATGCAAGGCTACATGGGGAAGCACCGGTACCCAAAGTCAATTTCCTAAGAAAAGGACTACTGGAAATTCTTTGCATGGAGCAACCTTAATTAAGTTTAGTGTGATCGTATCTATAGCCTGTCACTTCCAGACTAAATACAAGTCACCTTAAGTGATCTTAACAACATTATACCTCTTATCAAGGAGAAATTGAGTGGATGCTTTAGCACACTATAAGCTGGACTAATAACCTTTTAAACTGTAGCAATTATACCAGTATTGAAATAGGCATCAAATCAATGTGCCATGGAAAGGATTTTTGGAAATCATTTCATAGCTTCCTTACTAGCTCATTTATTCCCCTGTCCCTTTTTTAGTCCAGTTTGCCAAAAATATTAGTGATCTCCTTTTTAGTTCATGAAATAGTAACATTGAAGAAAAATTTGGGAAAACAATGAAAAATATTCATAATACCATCATCCAGCAGAACTAAGATTTTGATTTTTTGGTTAATAGTTTCTAGTACTTGTGCATATGCAAGTATGATTTTCAGACTACATTTTGAGTAAACATGTTCAACCTAGTAGCCCAAACTCAGGGACAAGACCAACCAGAGATGCAGAAATCACAGATAGCTGCGTAGTCCATGTAGTCAGTGAACAGGATGGCCAGGTATGTAGCTTGGTAGAATTCCCTAAGGTGGAAAGCAGGCAGCTGCAGTGGCTCTTCATGTGGTTCCTGTGAGCCTCAGTTGTGGTTTATGTTTCATAGGGTTTTAGGCTGGAGCGGAATAAGACGATAATTGAATAACAAATTATTTTCTAAGAAAAAAGGTATACAAGAGTATAACATCTGGTCTCATTTTTGCTATTACCATGTCTGTTATTGCTGTAGCTACATTCTGGCTCTGTGTGTGTGTGTGTGTGTGTGTGTGTGTGTGTGTGTGTGTGTAGGTTACTACAATAAGGTTACATACTAGTTAAAAGATAGATTAGAGAATGATCAGTTCCCTGAGGGTAGGTGGGGAACAATTTTAAAAGCTCCTTTTAAATGGCCTAAATGGCTTCTTATCAGTATAAGCATAAAGTCCAAACTTCTTAGGACAACTTTCCAAGGCTCATGCTTTCAATCACTGTATTCTACTTCCCCTCTAATATGATAGTGTATTTTGTTTCTATTATGACTGCTGTCTTCACTTGGAAAGCTACAGTCACACATGCCCTGGAAGTCATAGTTAGCATTGTTTTGACAGTACTAATAACACTAAAAGCTCTGACTATGTGGATTTTATGTCATATACCAGGCTGCTGATGCCTTGACACTTTATAGAAACATGACCTGCTCCTTGTATCATGTATTCTAGGTCCCTTCTATGCATTATGGTAAACCATAATGTGATTTAAAAGGAACTTGTAATTCTTGGGCTTTTAATTTTCTGTCTTGGCAAATAAGCTAACTTGCTCCCAAAATCTAGTTATATCATCTTTGTACATGAATTTTTCATAGCTTGAGTCAGAGACCAGAAAATAAAATTCATTGATACCTATTGTATGCCAGACATATGAATTTTATGTGAATTATATCTCAATAAACCTTATAAACTTCAGCAAAACTTGGTGGTTTGCTTTAAAGGGGCAAAATATAAAATATTGCATAGAGAATGCTATTCTTTACATGTTTTCAGACTCTAAATGTCTAGAAATGTCAGTTGTGGGAGAGTACTTTTTAAAAGAAAGGAAAATAACAAAGAAAAGGGAAGAGTAAACCTAGGAGCCACCAGAATAGATTTTCCATCAGAATACTTTTTTATATGTTACCCACATTGTTGAAAGGAAATAAATTGTAGAGATGTCTATAAAGTACATTTAATGGTTCTGTGAGCAAAAGCAGGGAAAATAATCAGACTTTTCATGCTATATAATTTAACAGTAGCAAGAGAATATTTTGAAAAGATTTTGATGAAAACAGTCTTTGAATAAGGGCATTCTAGCTTTCAAGATGAATAACCATCCCATTTCACTTTTTTTAACTTTATAATATGTTGTTACAGTGTGACTTTAAATAACTTAAACTTTTTTTTCCTTTACATTGAATAATGTATCCACCTTTGTTCTTTCTAATTACTTTTTTTGGGAAAAAAGATACAAACCACCCCACTTCCTTATTTCTCTAATGAGATGAGTGCAATAACTATCTTATTTCTCCCTTTTCATTTTGAGTAGTAAAAATTATGCAATAACAATTTATATAGTGATTTTTTTAAAAGCAAGAATAACATATAGTTTGAAATTTTTCTCAGGTGGCTTCATGCAAATTATTTAATGACACCCCTACTTACCATGTTTGTTGGGCTAAATCCTATGTATCCTTAAGTTTAATCTGTACCATCATGCTTGCCTTCTTGGTTTCCTTCACAAGCTTTCCTCCTCTGTGCTTCCATGGTACTGAACACATATCTCCATGTACTGGCACCGTCTGTTTATCTAACTGTCTCTTTTATTAGACTGTATGTTTCATTAAGGCCAATGACTGGATCTTATCTTTGTACCTCAGCATCTATAATTGAATTTGGGAAATAGGATGTGCTCAGTAAATTCTGAACTAAATGGAATCACAGAAAAAGTTTCATTAGATGTTGTAGGGACTGATACTTGGTCAGTTAATTTTTTTAAGCTGAAGCATAGAATTTTTTTTAATTTTGGGTATTAAACCTTTGATATATTGAAGCATAGAATTATTGAATACATATATACATGAAGTTTCGTTTTTAATTTTTATTGTTTTGTTTTTGAGACAGAGTTTCACTCTGTCATCCAGGCAGGAGTGCAGTGGCACAATCTCAACTCACTGCAACCTCCATCTCCCAGGTTCGAGTGATCCTCCGGCCTCAGCCTCCTGAGTATCTGGGACTACAGTTGTGCACCACCATGCTTGGCTAATTTTTGTATTTTTAGCAGAGATGGGGTTTCACCATGTTGACTAGGCTGATCTCAAACTCCTGACCTCAAGTGATCTGCCTGCCTCAGCCTCCAAAGTGCTGGGATTACAGGTGTGAACCACTGCACATGGCCTGAAGTTTTATTTTTGCTAAAACATATTATTGTATATAATCTTTGACAATTATTTAACATAGGGCATGACCTTTGAATGAGAGACCCTAATTTTAGTTCTACTTACTCTTTTTTGCCTTAAAAACAAACATAAAGCCCTAAAATGAAAATAGTTTATTTAAAATGGAGGCACTTCGGAAGAACTTAGGACATGAACACCAAATCTTTTTATTTTTTTTATTTTTTTTTTAAATGTATTAATAAAGATAAGGTCTCGCTGTGTTGCCTAGGCTGGCCACAAATTCCTGCATTCAAGCAATCCTTCAGCCTTAGCCCCCCAAAGTGCTGGATTACAGGCCTGAGCCAATGTGCCCTGCCTACAGAATCTTTTTAGATTTTTACTATTTTTCCCAATCTGTAATAGATATCCAGTCACACCTAATTCAACAATAATTTTTTTTTTTTTGAGACAGAGTTTTGCTCTTGTTGCCCAGACTGGAGTGCAATGGTCCAGTCTCAGCTCACTGCAACCTCCTTCTTCTGGGTTCAAATGATTCTCCTGCCTCAGCCTCTGGAGTAGCTGGGATTACAAGGCACCTGCCACCACGCCTGGCTAATTTTTGTATTTTTAGTAGAGACAGGGTTTCATGATGTTGGCCAGGCTGCTCTTGAACTCCTGATCTCAGGTGATCTGCCTTAGCCTCCCAAAGTGCTGGGATTACAAGCATGAGCCACCACACCCAGCTAGCAATTCATTTTTATTGAGTCTATTGTAAACATTTTAAATAGTTCTTGGAGAAACAACTCTTTGTGCAGTCATAGTTCTGATAAGCAAATACAGTGGTATCAACAGGTTCAGGAACAAACTGACCGGCTCTTAGTAAGCATACGCCTTAGCCATTTGGATCGGAAGTGCAAAGGAGTAGCTAACCAGCTATGAGCATTAAAATTTATCCTGAGAAGGTTGGGCATGGTGGCTCACACCTGTAATCCCAGCACTTTGGGAAGCCAAGGCGGGTGAATCACCTGAGGTCAGGAGTTTGAGACCAGCCTGACCAACATTGAGAAACCCTGTCTCTACTAAAAATACAAAGTTAACCAGACATGGTGGCACATGCCTGTAATCCCAGCTACTCAGGAGGCTGAGGCAGGAGAATCGCTTGTACCCAGGAGGCAGAGGTTGTGGTGAGCTAAGATTGTGCCATTGTACTCCAGACTGGGCAACAAGAGCAAACTCTGTCTTAAAAAAAGAAAAAAAAAAAAAACTTATTCTGAGCATCAGATAATATATTTTACAGAAATAATGGAGTATTTTTAGTCTAGTAAAAGTCACTTAGTAGAGGGAATTTAAGAGAACTTATATTGTACTTCTTTTCTACACCAAAATTTCATCAATTACAGCAGTTACTCAGGAGTCAGCTATACCTTGCCACTAGACTTTATAACCTTCATTATCCTTAACTCAGTGCTGTAATGTCTTATCTTCTCAAGTCGCTTTGGCCACCCACAAAGAATTTCATGCTAATTGTTTTTTTATTTGTTTGTTTTAATTTCAGTGGTAGGAATGGGATCCTGGTGCTTCCACATGACTCTGAAATATGAAATGCAGGTTAGTAATGACAAAATTGATAAATACTTATTTCTCTTAATTCAGAGGTAATTCAGATTTGAGAAAAGCACATAACTATGGCTAAAAGATGGGATTTATAATCTCTGGAGTTTTTTACTTCAAGTCTGAGGATCCAAATTGACTAAGTGAAGTAAAGAAATAAGCAGGTGAGTCCATAAAGAAAACAAGTACATGCCGGGCGCGGTGGCTCAAGCCTGTAATCCCAGCACTTTGGGAGGCTGAGGCGGGTGGATCACGAGGTCAAGAGATCGAGACCATCCAGGTCAACATGGTGAAACCCCGTCTCTACTAAAATACAAAAAATTAGCTGGGCATGGTGGCGCGTGCCTGTAATCCCAGCTACTCAGGAGGCTGAGGCAGGAGAATTGCCTGAACCCAGGAGGCGGAGGTTGCAGTGAGCCGAGATCACGCCATTGCACTCCAACCTGGGTAACAAGAGCGAAACTCCGTCTCAAAAAAAAAAAAAAAAAAAAAGAAAACAAGTACAAATAGTTTAGGGCTTTCTGACCATCTCTGTGCAGGCATATACAATTGAGAGCAGCATTAGAGAGTAGAGTCATGTGGAGACATCTTAAACAGACATAATCAATTCACCAGAACAATATATTCTTATTCCAAGATACCTGCATTCTTTCATGTCTCTATGGCATCCATTTGAATGGTCTGGGTCCCTCTAGGCAGCAAGACTTTAGGGCAAGCTTGTCCAACCTTTGAGCTGTATGTAACCCAGGATGGCTTTGAATGTAGCCCAATACAAATTCATAAACTTTCTTAAAACATTATGAGGGTTTTTTTTTAAGCTCATCAGCTATTGTTAGTGTTCATTTTATGTGTGGCTCAGGGAAGCCAAAAGATTGGACTCCCCTGTAGAGCTAGCCGAAGATTTTTAGTTTCCACCCTTATTCTGTGGAGGGCCTATATGTCAAGTCCTCGATTTTTTGATCTCTTGATTCCTCATCACTAATGTAGAGACTTCTAGAACAATAATAGAAATAAAATGTGAGCTACATTTGTAATTTAAATTTTTCTAGTAGCTACACCGAAAAAAGTACACAGAAATTGGTGAAATTAATTTAATAATATATTTTATTTAACCCAGTATATCTAAAATATTACTTCAGTATATATCAACAATATAAAAATTTATGAATAAAGTATTTCATATTCTTAAATCTGGTTATATTTTATACCTGCAATATATTTTGGTTCAATTAGGCTTATTTCAAGTGCTCAGTAGCCACCTTGGAGTGTCAAAACCTGTGTGTGACTTATAGATAGACACATGAGGTGGGGACCATCCATCCCAGAACACTGGCACTTGAGCCAGGTAAAGAGAGTGTCAACATAGGGAGATAGTCCAGTGTAGGATGTCAGAGCCTAATTAGGAGTGAGGTGGGTACTTGCACATCAAGGTAGCCTAGGACAGTGTATTAGAGATCAGAGTCGAAAAGGTATTGATGCAAAGGGGACAGCTCAATGAGGAATAAGAAGGGTGTCCCCATAAGTGGGGGAGGTCATTTGACATGCAGTTGGAATCTGAGTGGGACAGGGAGAGTGCCACATGGTGAGGACAGCTTTGTGCCATGTTTTGGTACCTTGGGAAGGTGAGGGTGACTTCTCCATGGCAGAGTGGCCCAGTACAGGATCTGAGAGCATAAGCATAGTCAAGAGGCCATCTAAGTGGAGGTGCAGCAGCCCAGTACCAAGTATTGAAGCCTGAATTGAGTGAGAAGGTCATTGCTTAGGAGAAGGAGAGGTAGCAATGGACTCCTTGTTACATACAGGGTAATTAATCAAATAAATAAATATATTAAGGAGAATGGGAGCCAGTTTTCTTACTGTTTGGTTGCAAATATGGAAAAGATGAAAAGTAGAATGTACTGTGTGGTGACAAATTGAAATTCGACTTAACAGGGCAAACTCGTATGTTTAATACATACATATATAATAGACATAAATATAGATATGAAAATATATGTGATATGCCTATGTATATATTATATATATGTGTATACATACTTAAATATTTTAATGCACATGTATGTACATAATATTCTTAAGCTCTGTCCATGAGAGGATCTGGGAACAGGGAACTCCAAAGCCAAAGAATACACCTAACATTCAGATCTTGTTTTCTAAAAGTCATTCTTCTTTAAAAGAAACCAGGGCTGATTCCAAGGGCCGGGGCAGAAAAAAAAGGACAATATCAGCCTAAGTCATCTTTTTATGACAGAAAAACATGGAATGGCTCAAAAAATTACGGGAATACGTCAAACGGACACTGAAGCCAACTTGAAGGGGCTCCTGCTGGCCAAATCGGGGACAATTTGAGCATCAAAATAAATAGTAATGGGTTATAATAGCAATAATATAACCCAATGAGTAATATAGGAAATCTGAGTCCATACTAAGATAATAAATGATGTATTATTATCCAACACGGTGGTTTTTAATAAATAAATAAATGATGTATAAATGAAATAATACATGAGTATGAATAAATGAATAAAGAAAAAGTTTGATGTTGAACAGTATATTTACATAGTTTCAAAGTACCTCTCCACAAAATACTTAAAAAGGGGAGAAAGAATACCTTTACAGTGGTGAAGCCTAGTGGAAAACATCTTAAGCAAGCTAATCATCACTAACGGGACAAATCAAAATTATATATGACAATGGAAAAACCAAACCCTGTCAAATATTTTTATTTTATTATTATTATTATTATTTTTTTTTGAGATGGAGTTTCGCTCTTGTCACTTAGGCTGGCATGCAGTGGTACAATCTCGGCTTACTGCAACCTTTGCCTCCTGGGTACACACTCAAGAAAAAGAAGTGCAAGTGTACTTGAGAGAAGGTCATGCAGTGGGGTTTGGGGCTGCTACCTTTATTCCTCTAACCAAGGAATGGAATATTCATGAAAATTCCTGGAAAAAGGCAGAGATTTATAAGAACCGTGGTGCCAGCCATTTTTACATCAAATACAGGTGTTCCTGGAACTATCATGGTGATACCAGTTTCTGCCAGTGCTTTCCAGTGGAGAGCCCCCAACTGGGCATCCTGAGGGCACGTGTGTCTCCCTTGAGGCTTCCTGAGGCAGGGGCATGGCACCTCCTCCATGTGCCGGGGGTGAGGGGCTGAACAGGGTAGGGGGTTGGGAGGAACCCGTGTCATTGCTGCTCCTTGCTGTCGTCCAGAGTCCTCTGCTAACTGTTGATCCCCTTCCCAAGATGGTGACGATCTGAGGGTCTGACACCTGTAGAGGTATGTGTGGGACCCCCAAGTTTCCCTGCAGTGACTGATGGTTCCTATCTCCATCTCTGGGCTTCTGGGTTTACAGTGCATCCCAAATCTTCCTTTGTTGTGATGGTGACACCACAGGGGGCTCTCAGGATGATTTTGGCGCTGTTCTTGGAGTCCTGTAAGTGAGGCCAGGCCCATGGAGCAGAGTACCTGCCCAGGTGACAGCCATGAGTGGGGCCTCTCAAGCTGGAAAAGGCAGGAAACGGATTCCTCTGAAGTCAGCCCCTTGATTTCAGCCTAGTGAGACCCATTCTGGATGTATGACCTCCACAGTTGTCATCAGCTTGTGCCATTTTGAGTCACTGCATGACTTGTGATAGCAGCTGTGAGACACTAAGACACCCTCCTGAGCCCCAAGTCTGTGGTGTCACTCCTTCAGCCGAGCCCTGCTTTCTGCTGGAACTGATGCAGTAGCCTGTTGAGCCTGACTGGATCCTTGGTGGCTGTTGGACCTTTTATCTGAGAACCCCAGGGATGCTTGCTCCGTGGTGGTCATGATCTTGGTCCTCAAAGGGACAGACATGCCCATACCTCATGCCTGTCCACACCCTCAGCTCCTCTATCCAGCTCCAGTGAAGCATGAGCCCCCAGCTCAGGATCAGGTGCCAGTCCCTTCCTTCCCTTGGCAGGTCCCCTGTACATGCCAAGTTCTACCACATGGGACAGAGGCAAGCAGGGCCCTGCAGCTTGCCAGGCTTACAGCATGGATGTCCTGTCTTTGCACTTTCTTAGTAGTGTCCTTTGATACAAAAAATAGTTTTCAGTTCTGCCGAAGTACATTTTATCTGGTTTTTTTCTTTGGTTGCTTATATTTTCGGTATCATAGCTAAAAAACTATTGCCTAACTCAAGGTCATAAAGATTTATATCTGTGTTTTTGTCTAAGAATATAGCTCTTACATTTAGTTATTGGTCCATTTTGTGTTAATTATTTATGGTGGTGTGAGGTAGGGGTCTAGCTTCATTCTGTAGCACTTGGATATCTTATTGTCCCAAAACCATTTGTTGAAAAGACTGTTCTTTCCTTATTGAGTTATCTTAGCACTGTTAGTGAAAACCAACTGATCATGAATGTGTGAGTTTATCAGCTCCCAATTATATTCTATTGACTTATGTATCTATTCTTAAGCTATTACCACATAGCCTTGATTACTGTAGATTTTGTAGTAAGTTTTGAAATTGGACAGTGTGAATATTCCAAGTGTGTTGTTCTTTATTGAGATTGTTTTAGCTACTCTGGATCCCTTGCATTTTCATATAAATTTTAGGATTAGCTTGTCAATTTCTACAAAAAGGTAGCTGGAACTTTGAAGGAATTGTGTTGAATCATCCATAGATCACTTTGGGGAGTACTGACATCTTAATATTATGTCTTCCAGTCCATGAATACAGGATGTCTTCTCATTGATTTAAATCTTTAATTTGTTAAGTAATGTTTTATCATTTTAGTGTGCAAGTCTTGACTTATTTTGTTATATTTATTCGTAAGGATTTTCTTCTTTTTGATGCTATAGTCAAGTGAATTGTTTTCTTAATTTCATTTTCAGATTTCTCCTATCTAATTTATAGAAATAGCAATGATTTTTTGCATCTTGATCTTTTATTTTTTGTATTCAACTCTGCTGAACTTGGCTTTTTGTTTTTAACCTCTAATTAAAAACATTTGTGTGTTCATTC